GTAGATAAAAGTTAAAATTAGGAACTAATGCAGAAGACACCTTTTCACTGCAACCATGTTCTTTCCCCCAACTACATAAAGTTATGTGGACCTGTGCTCTTTTATGTCATTTATTTAAGCTTTATTCCTGATACACAACCCTATTACAATTGGTATTACACATATCCTAATCTATATTTTTCAATAATGATGGTGCATTTAGGTCTCAGTGCTTGAAGGTTATTGCAGATTAAAAAGATTATATATGTGAATTTGCCGGGAGTGATCAGTTGTTTAATGGGGTAAAATAACCGGTGAAGGAGAAGTAATTTCTGATGAATCCGTGTATCATTCGTTCTTCAAAATAAAACCAAAATTTTAAACGGATAACGATTCACTTTTTTCACTTTTCGATTTTGTGTTTAAATAAATAATGGAGAAAATAACGACCATTTCCCGAACCAAACTCCTGGTCTTAAGCGTGTGCCTCGTCATAGGGTCTAAACCTGGTCTAAACCTGGTCTAAACCTGGTGGACCAGGACCAGAGGTACCATGCCCGCATAACCGAGGACCGGGCGGGGAGCGGAGGTACCACGTCCGCGAAAGAGAGGACCGGGCGCGGAGCGGAGGTACCGTGCCCGCCAAGGGGCCGCACGCAGCCGCGAGAACACACAGCAATGACCGCGGAGCAGTACTCGGACAGAGCATGTGGACAGACCAATATGTGGTGGCGGGCAAAGCTGTGGATGTGCGAGCACTGGCGTGATCAGAAGCGCCATCAGGAATATAAGCTTACATATTTTGCATTAAATTACAAAAAGGAGCATGGGTCCATGAGTTTATAACAAATAAGCATTTCTCGAAGAAAGCCAATGATATGATAAGCAGAAAGCTGACAAAACACTGCAAAGAAAATAACACTTACCTTCCACGATGTAGGAGCCATCTTGAAGCTAGTGTGACCAAAGTTTAGCACATGGTTAAGCAGCAGCCCGTGGCAGCAGCAGGAAACCCCGTGCATAGTACTAACGACGCATGCGTGAACGCTTGAGTTCAAGGCTTTGAATCAAGACATAAGATCTCTAGTCCTCCCAAAAATGTATCTTAAACTCACTGGATGAGGCAGTCATTTCAGTTCCTTAAAATGCATTTAAGAGTTTATTCAGCATTTGACAGGTAAAAAAAATTACTGGACTTAAATACATTCATTCTTTTAACAAAAAGCAAGTTTGTTTTTTAACAGTGTGTGTATATATATATATATATATATATATATATAATATATATATATATATATAAATATATATAATATATATATATATATATATATATATATATATATATATATATATATATATAATTACATGTTAAACAGCTATGCCCTGCCAGTGATCGGATACATTGCAGGTATCATAAGCTCAAACTCAAAACAGATCCACAAATATAGACACGTTCTTGACCAGCAGGTGGCAGCAGCTGGCACGCTAAACATTTGACTCTGCTGAAATGGAAGCGTTTCTTGCTTCTTAATGTCACTTAGGCTAATTTTTACCTTTATCAAACGCCTCAACAGCTGAGGACTAAACCACAACTGAACCAGGACCGAGTGTCTGAATGACCGGAGTTGTGCCCGCGGTGGCGGTGGGTGGACCGGCTCAGAACTCCGTGCTGCTAAACGCTGCCGTCACCGGAACGCGCTCCGTGGACTTGGGGTCCTCTTTCTCTCTCTCTCGCTCTCTTTCTTTCAAGTCCAGGACTAATCTTTGTGGAGAGAGAGAGGACGGGGTCCTGGTTTAGTCCTGTTTTAGTCTAGTTCAGTTCTGGTTTAGTCCTTAGCTGTTGAGGCGTTTGATAAAGGTAAACATTAGCCGAAGTGACGTTAAGTTAGCGAGAGACGCTTCCATTTCACATATTTCCATTTCGCATGTGTTACACATTGTATTGGCTCTGGATGAAATAAATCGAGGGGTTTCTTGTCAAACTGTTGTGGCCCTCTTTATTTTTTTGTGTATTATTGTCCAGCATAGCGTTAGATTTACGAAATGTTTATTACGTGGTCGTTAGCATATAACTTCATTTCGATGCTAATCGCTACGTCAATGAACAATGCAAAAACAATTCTACATGTGGCAATGATTTCTATCAGGCTCTGGTGTTACTCATGTGTAGTTGAGTGGTTGTAAGTCTCCAAAACAGTTCTGGTATTTCATAGTTTGTGGTGATAGATGGCTAACGCTAAGATGAAATTGGGGCTAACACTGGGTCTATACAGGTCTATTCGCATTTCATCCAAATTGGTATCTTATATTCTACATGGATGTGTGTTTGGCACTTGTATTCTAGGCTATAGATGTTACGAGATCAACGTTCTAAGGTGGAAAAACAGAGAAACTTACATTTTCATCCTTCAGTGTCTGGATGACTCCCTCCTCTGTGTTACGCTCCCTCAAAAAAGCAGCAGTTGATCATCTATTGCTACATGAACACACGGTAAAAACATTTAGGACAATTTTACTGTCACTTTACTCCATAACATTTCCTCTATAAGCTAGCAGCATTAGCTCACTAGTATTTAAGATAGCATTTTGTTTATTTTTTTTATTTAGCTATAGCATGCATATTATGCCATGCTACTACACGATCCTGGACTTTATATAAGCCAACATTTACATAAGCATACATTTGAGTAAGGAACAATATACGTTGTCAAAAATGGGGGGGAAAACATATAAATAATGATATATCTTACTTTTATTTGTGTCTGCTGAAGTCCGAGGTCCAGCTAGCCATGCAAGAAGGACTTGCCAAATCAACCGAACACCACACCATGTTTGTTTAATTGGCGGCATTTTATTAATTAGTGGGAACGATTTAGCTAAAATGTGGGAACGATTTAATCAAAACGTGCGAACAATATAGCTAAAATGTGCAAACGATATATCTAAAACGTGCGAACGATATATCTAAAACGTGCGAACGATATAGCTAAAATGTGCGAACAATATATCTAAAACGTGCGAACGATATATCTAAAACGTGCGAACGATATAGCTAAAATGTGCGAACAATATATCTAAAACGTGCGAACGATATATCTAAAACGTGCGAACGATATAGCTAAAATGTGCGAACAATATATCTAAAACGTGCGAACGATATATCTAAAACGTGCGAACGATATAGCTAAAACGTGCGAACGATATAGCTAAAACGTGCAAACGATTTAGCTAAAGTGTGGGAACGAATTATATATTGTGGGAACGAAATAGTAATTTGAGGCCACGAGTTAATATCTTTTTTCACGTACGTGATCGGGATGTCATCGGGCAAGCTCCGTACTATTCAAATTTCAGTGTTATCCCAGGCACATTTCTGATGATGCAACAACATTATAACTTTGCTAGAACTTGGGTTGGGTAATAAAGTTTGGGGGTATTTGAAGTACATGACCAGTGGCCTGTGCTACACCACCAGGAGAGACACAGATTCTGCTGTAGAATAAATCGTAATAATCCAAGAGTAAAAGAGAAAAGACACAAGGCTGAAGTTCTGACGCAGGAGAAGTTTATTTCCATGAGCACAGGACTCGACACATTGTGACAGAAGCAGCAGTAGCTCATATTTCCTCATTCAAACCACAGACTGTATAAAGAAGTGCACTAAGAGAGTGTGACGCCACCCACAGCGTTCAGCTCCAGTCAAATGAAGCTCACCGAGGCTTGCAGTTATAGGGGTGAGTTTGGAGCAGGTTAAGATTAGGAATTTATTTACAGGCAAAATAGCAAAATAAAAACTCCATGATCATATAGAGATGGTTTTAAGACCAAAAGAACAAGGCTCACAGCAGCAGTAACACAGAGGGGGGACAGTTTTTCAATCTAAAATCAACTGGAGTCAGAGTCGATGGAGCCGGAAATGCGCCCATGTTCACTTCCATTTATGTCAATTTATAATATTATCATGGATCTATTAAAATAAGTGGATAGGGTATTGCTCCTTGTAGCTGCCTCCAGTTGACGTAGTGACACTCACTGGAACTTCAGTGGAAAAATGGGTTATGTGCATGCGTATGTGCGTGTGTGTAGGTGTGTGTGTGTGTGTGTATGTGTGTGTGTGTGTGGGGGTATATGTGCATGCGTATGTGTGTGTGTGTGTAGTGTGTGTGTGTATGTGTATGTGTGCGTGCATGTGTGTATGTGCGTGTGTGTGAGTGTGTGTGCTGTGTGTGTGTGTGTGTGTGTGCTGTGTGTGTGTGTGTGTGTGTGTGTGGGTGTGTGTGTGTGTGTGCTGTGTGTGTGTGTGTGTGTGTGCGTGTGTGTGTGTGTGTGTGTGTGTGTATGGTTGTGTTGATTTTGTTGTTTTGGTGTTTATTTGATTTTATGGCGCTGACTGTCCTACTGTATCTGTCTTTTATTGTTGTAACTATGAGGACCCCTCAAAAACGAGATGGAGAAACATTTCAAGGGGCTCATCCTCCAAACAAATACATTCAAAATTCTAATCTGTAGTAGTAGTATAGTTGTAGTGCTACCATTTGTAGTAAAAGTTGCGATTCTAAACAACGGCGAGAGATAGTAGTTGTGTGGGCAGCTTGGGACAATACACCGGGACTTACAAAAAGACGAGTAGTAGTAGTAGTAGTAGTAGTAGTAGTAGTAGTAGTAAAACTTTTTTTCTGCACTTTGTGGTAAATTGTGAATTACTTGGCAGATTTTGTGGTGTGGTTCACGTTATTACAGGGGAATTATTTCTTTTAATCTTTCTGTCTGTGTCTTCTGTTTGCCTATAGATCGGTCTATCTTGTTCTTGAAAATACAGCCATAAATGTAATGATTATTATTTTATATCATGATGATGATGATGATTGATGATTATTATTATTATTATTTGTATATAGTAATAAAGTAAATGTGTCCCACTGTAAAAAAAAAAAACACTTGGTCATTTGTCTCCCTCTGGTGGTTTGTGATGGTATTGCTTATGTGTAATTTGATGACAGTACAGACAGTTAAAGGGGAGACATTGCAAATTGATATTGATATTGTGATGATAAAATAGTAATAATAATGCACACACACTAAAAAGAGCATAGGCCTCTAGTTGCAATGCTTTTTAATCAAATGTAAAGTCATCCATGAAGTTTGGCTTCATCTACAACTACTCATGAAAACTGATGACAAAAGAAGATCTGATTTCATCTTTTGGACACTGTGATGTCCCATGTTCACACTGAGCACATGGGAGCTGTTGGTAGAATTGATCTCAGTTTGATGTATCAGATTCTTCTCTCTCACAGACGAAGGGCAGACGCATGGCACAGACACGATCAGTCCAGCATTTTGCTTCTATAGGAGACAAGACACAGGGAATAAGTCGCTGCATTTGCAATAGACACCTTCTATTCTCCATGGAATTGTTTTATTTGGAAATGTCTAAGACGAGGTCACCAACACGGTGCTCGTGGGCACCAGGTCACCCACATGGACGACATGAGTCACCTCCAAAATAACACAACTCATTAGTGAGCTGCATCTAAAATTACATTTTATTCTGCTGCAATTCTTTTTTAATCACCCTTGCATTTATATAGATTTAAAAATGATAATATATTTAAAATATGTTCAGTATACATGAAGTTTAGATGAGTGAGCTGTTTTCTTTCGTGCTTACTGTTCATGTAAATGAGCCATGTGGTTTTAAGTTTTGTTTCTGTAAAACATAAACAAATACGCACAAAGTTGCATTAAACACATTATAATCTCAAACGGGCTGATGTGGCTCTGTAGTGGTTATGGTTTATATGTTGTAAAATTGAGTTTATTTATGCAGAAGATTTTAATACAAAATTTGCTGTACCAAGATGTACCACACTTGATGTACCAAGTGTTTTGCCTGAGGACAGTATGAACTAGTACAAGAGAAGTTTGAACTGCCAACCTTCAGGTTAGTGGGTACTTACGTTTCGCAGCACATGATTTCTTTTGACTTTTGGGGGAAGGTTTTCTAGGACACCAGTTTGTGTATCCCAAAGCGTCACTGTTGACCCAAAACCAGGAGCCGTACTAAAACATCACACAAGAGTTTGAGACAAAAGTGAAAAGATCTTTGTGAACTTCACAGCTGTGTATTCAAAATGTGGTAGGCTTTGAAAATTGTTGTTATTGCACCTGGGCGTAATAGACATATGGCTGACCTTATTTATCCCCACACTGTGACTAATGTGGGCAAAGTGCATGATAAGTACACAAATACACACACTCAGCATAACGCTGCTGTTTTAATGTTCAACCATTCTCTCCAAAAGTCTGGACATGCCACTGCCACAGATCTAAGAGGTTCTTATCTTACTGCTGAGTAACTTGTCCAGCACTGTGTCGTACCTGCTGGGCAGCAGACAGGCCAATCCAGATGTTCAATCCATTGGTTATACGAGCCACATATTGCTCCTCTGCCTTATTGTTGAAGACCACAAGATGTGCTCTCATTCCTAGACAATGGCTCTGAAAGAGGCAGGACAAAGAAACCATCATCAAATGAAGTCCAGTAGTTTTGGTATTATTAAAGTGAATCTTCCATGATTACCTGAGCATTAGACCAACTCTTTTGATCTTTTTCAAAAAAATAAGCATTCCCTTCGAATATGTACCAAGAATCATCAGCTGAAAACAGGAAAGTGAACAACATGAACGTCTGGAATGAATGAAGCGGCAACAGGCAACTCCTCACACTGATTTATATGGTGTAAACATAGACTGTATAAATAAGTGGACTACGGGAGTGTAACATCACCTACAGCTCAGCTCCAGTCAAATGAAGCTCACTGAAGTTGGCAGTTATGGAGTGAATTTGGAGCTGAGTTCCATATTAGGAATAGGAATTCATCTATGGATGAAATAGTGAAATAAAAACACCTGGATCCTGCAAAGTGAGTTCATACAAACATTTTAAGACCAAAACAAGGAGCCAGTGTCAATGGAGTCGGAAGTGTGTCCATGCTCACTTCCTATTTGGAACGCTAGTATGATAGCTATGTCCATTTATGTACAGTGTATGGGTGCAAATATTGGTTTAAATTAGACCTGTGGGCCACATCTTTGGCCCGTTTTAACCTTGCCCCTGCAATGTTTGATAATAATGATAGCATAAGTATAGATCAGGGCTCTCCAACCTGTAGCTCAGGAGCTACCAGTAGCTCTCTATCTCCTTCCAAGTAGCTCCAAGGGATTTCTGAATGATACGTTTTATGATGAATAACTCAATACAGTTTAATTACATGACTATTACCACTGTTGCATAACTCTGTGCACTAATAAATGAACAATGGTTCATGTTGTGTAGGCGTCTAACTGTACCCCATCTAACACTTGCCCTCTTTCTTAAATCAGTTTCTTGCAACCACTAAAATTAGAACCTTTCTGGTGGAAAAAGGTTGGAGACCCCTGGTACAGATACATCAGTCTGTATTTGACTGGAATATGCTCATAGGCATTTGTTACACCAGTGATTGCTCTGATGCTGCCCTCGAACATTTGCCTGAATTCGAACCCTTTAGGAAAAAAAGCAGCCAGTCCTGGTTTGAAAGTAAATACACAAACAGGATACTCACTTGTTGAAGTCGGCTCAGGGGGACCTGCAGGTCCAACTAAAACACATGAATGAATGAACATCCCTTATACAGACACATAATTCTGAGTTTTAAAGTCATAATTGCAAGTTTAAAACTTAAAAAAATAAATATATATATGACTTTAAAACTCCTAATGATCACTTTAAAATGAGTAATAATGACTTCCTATGAGGCTTTTATTTTTGTATTTGCTGGTGGAAATGGGCTTCCACACATGCCTCATGTGAAAGCTCCAGAAAATCAACTGTATTTCTGCATTGAAACTGGCAACATAAATGAGAAAGTACTAGTAGTAGTAGTAGTAGGATTGAAAGTACAAGTTACATAATCAGAGTACAAATGATGAGTAACTGTATTCAGTTACAGTTAGTGTTTCAGTGAGTGGTAATTGGATTACAGTTACTTTGTTGAAATAAATGGATGATTACAAGGCGGTATTTTCTTGTTTTCACTTAAAAAAAAAAAAAAAAAAATGTATTTATTAATTTTTTTTGGTAATTCCACTCATTGCCGGACACTAAACCAGGTCTAAACCCAGGTCTAAACTAGATCTAAACCAGGACTAAAACAGGCTTTAACAGGACTAAATCATGCTGTGTGGACCATGTCTCCTCCTCTTCTATCAATAATATTTTAAATATGGTTAAGTCTGGGCTTTTTATTTTCTTTTACCAGACAAAACATTTTATGTTACGATTTCCTCGTCTTTGCTTTTCTACAGCAAATCAAGTAATCTAAAGTAATCAGATTACATTACTCACTTTAAGTAATTTAATGGATTATGTTATGAACTACATTTTGGGCTATGTAATCTGTAATCTGTAGGGGGATACATTTTAAAAGTCACCTTCCCAACACTGCAGCAGTGTTGTGCAAGTTCACACTTTTCATGAACTAGTTCAACGTTCAGTTCACACTTGTTCAAAGTGAATAGTTCACGTTCATAGTTCACAATTTTAATTTTGAACTAGTTCAAAGTTCAGTTCATTTTATATTTAGATGAGATCTGTAAATGAAAGGCTGCATTTATTTTTCAAACTGACTTCTAGTTTACAACAACTTTACAAGATACACTGTTGGACAAATGACTTTAAAACTGTAATGTGTTATTTATGACTTGTTACTGTCATTTCAAAGTCATTTGTTACATTGCAATATTACTGTATTTAAAATGTAAAACATTACATGACTATTGCAGCACTTTTAATTTACTCTCACCAAAAGAACTGTTAAGATGCTGAACTTTTGCGCCGTATATGGACTGATCCAGGACTGAACCAGGACTAAAACAGAACTGAACCAGGTCCAAACCAGGACTAAACCAGAACTGAACCAGGTCTAAACCAGGACTAAACCAGGACTAAACCAGGTCTAAACCAGGTCTAAACCAGGACTAAACCAGGAATAAACCAGAACTGAACCAGGACTGAACCAGGTCTAAACCAGAACTGAACCAGGACTAAACCAGGACTAAACCAGGACCAAACCAGGACCAAACCAGGACTAATCCTGGACTAGAACTTGGAATCTAGGACCTCCCCTGAGAGAACCCGAGTGCGATCGGGCGTCAGCTGCGTTTATCTCGGTGGAGCGCGGACTTCTGCGTCGGTCCTTTCGCTCAGGATCACGGTCTACGCAGGCGCACCTCCGGTGTTTCACCGCTGCTGATATCGCGGTGATTTTAGCAAATTTGTATGAAGAAAAACGAAAAACCCACCATTTCAGTCCAGGTTAAAAAAGCATTGTGACGCGCGTTACTGACACATGTACCAAGTAAAATAATACGCGCGCGGAGCAGCACGTCCTGTGCGTGTAGATTTCAGAAAATAGGATCCATCCTATTTTTTGATGCTCTACACGAGCGTAGGCGCGTATCCCCGTCAAAATGCACAGAGAGCATGTATCTATTGTTGTATTTGTGCATTTACCATCAGCACATTGTGCTCCCTGGGCAGTTGTGTATCATGTGAAAGAGCCCAGATCCACATACACTGTTCATTAGTGCTTTGAAATTTACTTTTGAAATCCTTGCGTTTGCCGTGGTCAGCCTGTACAGAAGGTAAATACAAGCAGCTAAACGCGCCCAGTCAAGTTTGATTGACCCGTACGTTCCGCTAAAGCTGCCGGTGGAGTCGCCTTCGCGTTGACACGCGGCTGTGGTTTCGCGAGGTGAAGTGCGAGCAGATCGTCACTCGTCAGGTGAAAACAAATTCCGACGTTTAACTGAACCCCAACAGTGACGTACGTCGTTCATCACACATAATTTGAACAAATTCACGTTCAAGTTCTTGATTTACAAAAGTGTTGCGTTCAGTTCAAAGTTCACTGAAAAATGAACATGTTCAATGAACGCGTTCTTTTGAACTCGTTCATGCACAACACTGCACTGCAGATACATCAGTCTGTATTTGACTGGAATATGCTCATAGGCATTTGTTACACCAGTGATTGCTCTGATGCTGCCCTCAACCAGGAATTCATTAGAATGTAACTCTTGGGACAAACAGCCAGCCCTGTTCTAAACATAAATATGGAAATGGAATACTCACCTGGACCCCGCCTCAGCTTGGGATCATCTACAAAGTCCAAATCAAACACAGGATTAATAATGGTAGTAGTAGAAGTATAATGTAGTGAATGTAGTGTAGTTGTAGTAGTACCATTAGCAATAAGTCTTGCAATTCTAAACAACGAGGTATAGTAGTTGTGTGGGTCCACTAATAAATGGACAATGGTTATAATGTGTAGGCGTCTAACTGTACCCCATCTAAAACGTGCCCTCTTCAATCTATTTCTTGCGATCACTAAAATTAGAACCTTTCTGGTGGAAAAAGGTTGGAGACCCCTGGTACAGATACATCAGTCTGTATTTGACTGGAATATGCTCATAGGCATTTGTTACACCAGTGATTGCTCTGATGCTGCCCTCGAACATTTGCCTGAATTTGAACCCTTTAGGAAAAAAAGCAGCCAGTCCTGGTTTGAAAGTAAATACACAAACAGGATACTCACTTGTTGAAGTCGAATCAGGCCACCAGACAGGTGCAAGTCCAGCTAAAACACATGAATGAATGAACATCCCTTATACAGACACATAATTCTGAGTTTTAAAGTCATAATTGCAAGTTTAAAACTTAAAAAAATAAATATATATATGACTTTAAAACTCCTAATGATCACTTTAAAATGAGTAATAATGACTTCCTATGAGGCTTTTATTTTTGTATTTGCTGGTGGAAATGGGCTTCCACACATGCCTCATGTGAAAGCTCCACAAAATCAACTGTATTTCTGCATTGAAACTGGCAACATAAATGAGAAAGTACTAGTACTAGTAGTAGTAGTAGGATTGAAAGTACAAGTTACATAATCAGAGTACAAATGATGAGTAACTGTATTCAGTTACAGTTAGTGTTTCAGTGAGTGGTAATTGGATTACAGTTACTTTGTTGAAATAAATGGATGATTACAAGGCGGTATTTTCTTGTTTTCACTTAAAAAAAAAAAAAAAAAAATGTATTTATTAATTTTTTTTGGTAATTCCACTCATTGCCGGACACTAAACCAGGACTAAACCCAGGTCTAAACTAGATCTAAAACAGGTCTAAAACCAGGTCTAAACCAGGTCTAAACCAGGTCTAAAACAGGCTTTAACAGGACTAAATCATGCTGTGTGGACCATGTCTCCTCCTCTTCTATCAATAATATTTTAAATATGGTTAAGTCTGGGCTTTTTATTTTCTTTTACCAGACAAAACATTTTATGTTACAATATCCTCGTCTTTGCTTTTCTACAGCAAATCAAGTAATCCAAAGTATTCAGATTACATTACTCACTTTAAGTAATTTAATGGATTATGTTATGAACTACATTTTGGGCTATGTAATCTGTAATCTGTAGGGAGATACATTTTAAAAGTCACCTTCCCAACACTGCAGATACATCAGTCTGTATTTGACTGGAATATGCTCATAGGCATTTGTTACACCAGTGATTGCTCTGATGCTGCCCTCAACCAGGAATTCATTAGAATGTAACTCTTGGGACAAACAGCCAGCCCTGTTCTAAACATAAATATGGAAATGGAATACTCACGTAGACCCCGCCTCAGCTTGGGATCATCTACAAAGTCCAAATCAAACACAGGATTAATAATGGTAGTAGTAGAAGTATAATGTAGTGAATGTAGTGTAGTTGTTGTAGTACCATTAGCAATAAGTCTTGCAATTCTAAACAACGAGGTATAGTAGTTGTGTGGGTCCACTAATAAATGGACAATGGTTATAATGTGTAGGCGTCTAACTCTACCCCATCTAAAACGTGCCCTCTTCAATCTAATTCTTGCGATCACTAAAATTAGTAGCTCTCCAGCATTTCTGTTTTGTCAAAGCAGTGGAAAAAGGTTGGAGACCCCTGGTACAGATACACAGTGTTGGGGAGTAACAGATTACATGTACCGGAGTTACATAATCAGAGTACAAATGATGAGTAACTGTATTCAGTTACAGTTAGTGTTTCAGTGAGTGGTAATTGGATTACAGTAACTTTGTTGAAATAAATGGATGATTACAAGGCAGTATTTTCCTGTTTTCACTTTTTTTTTTTTTTTTTTTTTTAATTTATAAAAAAAAAATTTGTGGTAATTCCACTCATTGCCAGACACTAAACCAGGACTAAATCAGAATTGAACAAGGACTAAAACCAGGTCTAAACTAGATCTAAACCAGGTCTAAAACAGGACTAAACCCAGGTCTAAACTAGATCTAAAACAGGTCTAAACCAGGTCTAAAACAGGCTTTAACAGGACTAAATCATGCTGTGTGGACCATGTCTCCTCCTCTTCTATCAATAATATTTTTAATATGGTTAAGTCTGGGCTTTTTATTTTCTTTTACCAGACAAAACATTTTATGTTACAATATCCTCGTCTTTGCTTTTCTACAGCAAATCAAGTAATCCAAAGTATTCAGATTACATTACTCACTT